CCAAATCTACAATGGAATGGTTCAATCGACCTGAATCCAATCGAGAATCTGTGGAAAGAGCTGAAGACTGCTGTTCACAAACGCTCTCCATCCAACCTCACTGAGCTCGAGCTGTTTTGCAAGGAAGAATGGGCAAGAATTCCAGTCACTCGATGTGAAAAACTGATAGAGACATACCCCAAGCGACTTGCAGCTGTAATTGCAGCAAAAGGTGGCGCTACAAAGTATTACCGCAAGGGGGCCAAATAATATTGCACGCCCTCTTTTCAGTTTTTTACTTGTTAAAAAAGTTTAAATTATCCAATAAATTTTGTTCCACTTCACGATTGTTTTCCACTTGTTGATTCTTGACAAAAAATGTAATTTTTATATCGTTATGTTTGAAGCCTGAAATGTGGCGAAATGTTGAAAGGTTCAAGGGGGCTGAATACTTTCGCAAGGCACTGTACATTATCCCTTACATATAAACACCAAGGGCCAAATGAGAGATTAGGCTCTGCAAAAAACGGCTTGTTTTTACCTTTTACCGTTGAGCAATTTGTCATAGAATATAATGTATATAGTTTATTCCAAAACACATTTCACCAAGATTTGAACCTGGGTCACCACAGTGTTAGTGTTGTGACATAACCACTAGACCAGCGACATGCGGTGAGGTTTGTGATTGGGGAGGTACTGACTTTAAAAGTCAGATTTACCATCATTGTTCCAATAAAATTGCCAATGCAACAACGTCCATAAACTAACTCACTGTGTGAATTTTTCGAATGTGAGCGCTGGCCTTGCTCTTTCTGCTCCCCCTCCCCACACTCATGGAGCTGTCGCCCCCCCACTACCCCCCTCCCGCTCAGCAGCACATGTACTTTTTACGGCGCTCACGTCTCACAATGGGCTATGTGCACGGGGAGGCGTGACGTCGTTTCCGGTTAACAAAGCACAGCCCGTTCACTTCCTGTCTATGCTATGGCTATTAGGGGTGGGAACCTAAGGGTACCTCACGATACAATACGATACACGATACAAAGCTCACGATAACAATATTATCACAATAACAATTTTATCACAATATGACAATTATCGATATATTGGTCAGAAATATACAATATGGCAATTTATGGCATACACAAAAGAAAAAATACACTTTATTTCATGATAAATGGAATGGAGATGCGTAATGTAGCCATATACCAATTTTTATTTTATTTTTTTTACCCTCTAGGCGCCACGGTCGACTTAAAGCTGCACTAACTGACTTTATTTTTGTATTCATTACGAAAATGCTATCCATGTCCATGTTGTGCATTTGTATAAACGTCCTTTTGAAGAAAAAGTAGCACAGATTTGTGCTTCCGTGACATTATATTTTAGATCGAGTTTTGATGAAACAAGGAAGAGAATGTGTTTCGGGTCGCAGATTGTGACCAATCACAGCGGACCACTAGCCCCCACTTTTGTGAGAAATCTACAAGTACGTTAGCATAGACGGCTGAGTTAGCACAACAAGCCGAGGAGCTAACCTGAAGCTTTCTCGTCTTCGTCACGGTTTCAAAATCCCAAAGTCAGTTAGTGCAGCTTTAAGTCGACAAGCTGCGGTACTGTTAAAAACGGCCGAGTGTTTGTCCAACTGAGTGTCAAAATTCATTCATACTCCCTGCCACTAGTTGGCAGACATGTCAGACTCCTGGCCCCAAAAAACTTCATGCTCTCATACAAAATATTCGAGCAAGACCGCGTTGAACCAGTGCGGAAATCATAGTGAAGCGATGCAGCTGCGAGGGCAGCCTGCAAGTGTTGTACCGCACCAAACACTAACTTTGGACACTTTGCACAGGGTCTGCAGTGAGAACAGTGTTTCTTAGAGTAAGGCCAAGTCATTGGGAGGTTCGGAGACAGGTTAGATTTGCGGAGAACCAGCCTGGAACTCGCATCGGGGCGCCGCGCCGCGCCTCCCCTCCGCTAAAAGTGCTTCCCACATATTTATTTTCAAGCCTCCCGTAATCACCGGGACAGTAACGTGTTGGATAAGCCTTGTCTTGTGTGTGTTAGACGAGAGAGAGAGCAGGGGAGATGGGAGGGAGAGTGGGGGAGACAACTGCAGCAGGAGAGTCGCGGTAACGCGCTTCACCTGGAAGTGCGCGTCTGGGCAGACTGCTCACAGCAGCACCATGATTTGTATTTTTTACTATTTTTATGAACATTTACAATGTTGCAGTCTGTGTTCTGTGTATGTTCATGTATTAGTGATCAATATATGTCTGTCAGTTAGAAAAATACAAATATTGTATGAAAATTCTAAAATCCACTATTTCTAACGCCAAATGACTTCATAATATGCAAATTAGATGGGGGGATTTATTCTCTACATAAACTTTGGACCATCCTTGATAATTTTCTAATTTACAGAAAGCCTTTATCTCTTATCACTTTTAAGTTATAGCCTTTTGAAATTAAGATGTCAAAATTGAGCGTTTTGGAAAAAAACCTCTGGCGCTTAAAAGGTTAAATCGATATCGATACTTGGCAAATACATATTGATAATCGAATCGCGGGAGAAAGTATTGCGACCCCTAATCGCTATGGCTTTTAGGTGAGTTGCAGTGACGTTTTTAGTTACTAGATTGATACATTCAGCTGTGAGACTGACCCGAAAGTGGTGACGTACTTTCTCTCTGAGGTAGAGCTTTTACTGTGGCCACTCAGAGAGATTAGTAAACTTTATAAAAGCACTGCTGTGTTTAATTTTTTTAGAGATCATTTCTTCTGTATACTGTATGTAATTACTCTCCCATCAACCATACTCTCCCCCTTGTTGAGACATTAATAATGGCTCAATAACTGAACATAATCCCTACTTATTCATTTATATGATATGAAAAAGACACAAATAAACAATTTATTCATGTAATTAATCTAGCATCAAAATGTATACTCTAAACGTTCATTTGAAATGTATTAACCTTGGTTATCAAATTCAACACCACGCACATGCCCAAAGCCCAAAGACCCTAAAGCCCAACGCACACCGAAACGCCTTGACGCGCGGCAAAAGAGCCGCCTCCTTTATTTTCTATGAGAGAACGCACACCAAGGTTGCAGTGACGCGCGGCGACGCTGGACCGGGCGCCACGATTCAGTTTTGTTGAATCCAGACGCGGCGCCGCGGCTGAAACTGTCCCTCCAAGCACCCGTAGTTTTCTTCTTCTGCGCTTCTTATCACGTAGCTGTGAGCGCGGTCTCAAATTTACACACTTGTCGGCGCTATTGCTCAAGTAAACCGGTCACAATGGACGAGGAAAGCTTGATAACCCAAGTACAGCGTTACCCAGAGCTATTTAACCCACAGAATCCTTTTTATAATCTTATTTATTATCTTATATATATTATTATTATATTATTATATTATATATATATATATAGATATTATATATCTTAATTTATTATCCTCCCCCAAAATATTAGTAGAAACTTCCAAACGTCACTCACCCATTTCATCTGCGATCAGCTGGAAAAGGACGCTAGCCAAGGCGTTCCGGTGTAATTTGACACATGTCATGAACGCGCGTCAAATGACGCGCCGCGAGGCGCTGCGTTTCGGTGTGCGGTGAGCTTAAGTCAATTTTCACAGTCCATAGCCCAGCGTCCATATTTGAGTGGCTGCATAGTCTATGCAGCCACTATATGCTATCCTACTGTTTATTGACTATATGCTATCCTACTGTTTCTTCTTCTTCTTCTTCTTCTTCTTCTTCTTCTTCTTCTTCTTCTTCTTCTTCTTCTTCTTCTTCTTCTTCTTCTTTCGCCAGATTTTGTCACTTTTCAACTCTTCAACGCTTTCACCAAATTCAACAAATTATACATCGTTACGACCGGCTTCACCGTCTCATTATTGCTATTACTTTTCACACTTCCACCTTTAGCACTTTTTCAGATATTAACAAAAGTTCAAGCACTTTTTCCCATTGACTTACATTGGACCAGTACAACAGATTACTCCCCATACAACACATTACCACACTAACAATTCATTACCACACATACAATACATTACAACACTTACAGCACCTTACAACACATTTAGCACTTTACAACACATTCAACACCTTACAACACATTTAGCACTTTTCAACAAATTCAACACCTTACAACACATTTAGCACTTTACAACACATTCAACACCTTACAACACATTTAGCACCCTACAACAAATTCAACACCTTACAACACATTTAGCACTTTACAACAAATTCAACACCTTACAACACATTTAGCACTTTACAACAAATTCAACACCTTACAACACATTTAGCACTTTACAACAAATTCAACACCTTACAACACATTCAGCACCTTACAACAAATTCAACACCTTACAACACATTTAGCACTTTACAACACATTCAACACCTTACAACACATTTAGCACTTTACAACAAATTCAACACCTTACAACACATTTAGCACTTTACAACAAATTCAACACCTTACAACACATTTAGCACCTTACAACAAATTCAACACCTTACAACACATTTAGCACTTTACAACACATTCAACACCTTACAACACATTCAACACCTTACAACACATTTAGCACCTTACAACAAATTCAACACCTTACAACACATTTAGCACTTTACAACAAATTCAACACCTTACAACATATTTTAGCACTTTAAACACAAATTCAACACCTTACAACACATTTAGCACTTTAACACAAATTCAACACCTTACAACACATTTAGCACTTAACACATTCAACACCTTACAACACATTTAGCACTTTACAAAACATTCATTACCTTACAACAAATCCAATACCTTACAACACATTTAGCACTTTACAACAAATTCAACACCTTACAGCACATTTAGCACTTTACAACACATTTAGCACTTTACAACACATTAAGCACTTTACAACACATTCAGCACTTTACAACACATTCAGCACTTTACAACACATTTAGCACTTTACAACACCTTGCAACACATTCTTCTTACTTCATCTTCTTCACTTCGTCCTCTTCTTCCCCTTCTTCCTTTTCTTCCCCTTCTTCCTCTTCTTCCCCTTCTTCCCCTTCTTCCCCTTCTTTCTCTTCTTCCTCTTCTTCCCCTTCTTTCTCTTCTTTCTCTTCTTCCTCTTCTTCCCCTTCTTCCCCTTCTTCCCCTTCTTCCTCTTCTTCCTCTTCCTCTTCTTCCCCTTCTTCGTCTTCTTCCCCTTCTTCTTTCTCCTCCTCTTCCTTCTTCTTTCCTCTTCTTTCTTCTTCCTTCTTCTTCCCCTTCCTCTTCCTTCTTCATCCCTAACCCTTCCAACATCTATGCAGCCACTCACAATGGCTTCAGCCATTGTACCATTTCTAGTTGAGTGGCTGCATAGACTATGCAGCCACTATATGCTCTCCTACTGTTTATTGAGTGGCTGCATAGACTATGCAGCCACTATATGCTCTCCTACTGTTTATTCTTCTTCTTCTTCTTCCACTTCCGCCAGATTTTGGCACTTTTCAACTCTTCAACACTTTCACCAAATTCAACAAATTATACATCGTTACGACCGGCTTCACCGTCTCATTATTGCTATTACTTTTCACACTTCCACCTTTTGCACTTTTTCAGATATTAACAAAAGTTCAAGCACTTTTTCCCATTGACTTACATTGGACCAGTACAACCGATTAACTCCCCTTACAACACATACCACTTATATGCCTTACAACTGTTTAACCACTTTACAACACATTTAGCACCTTACATAAAATCAACACCTTCCACCTTCAACACTTCAACACCTTCCACCGCCAGATTTGGCACTTTTCAACTCTTCAACGCTTTCACCAAATTCAACAAATTATACATCTTTACGACCGGCTTCACCGTCTCATTATTGCATTACTTTTCACACCTTCCACATTTAGCACTTTTTCACAAAAGTTCAAGCACTTTTTTCCATAGACTTACATTGGACTACAACAGATTACTCCCCATACACACATAACCAAACAACAAATTCATCACCACAGATACAATACATTACAACATCTTACAACACATTTAGCACTTTACAACAAATTCAACACCTTACAACACATTTAGCACTTTACAACAAATTCAACACCTTACAACACATTTAGCACTTTACAACAAATTCAACACCTTACAACACATTCAGCACCTTACAACAAATTCAACACCTTACAACAAATTCAACACCTTACAACACATTTAGCACCTTACAACACATTCAACATCTTACAACACATTTAGCACTTTAACAACAATTCAACACATTTAGCACTTTACAACAAATTCAACACCTTACAACACATTCAGCACCTTACAACAAATTCAACACCTTACAACACATTTAGCACTTTACAACACATTCAACACCTTAAAACACATTTAGCACTTTACAACAAATTCAACACCTTACAACACATTTAGCACTTTACAACACATTCAACACCTTACAACATATTCATCACTTTACAACACATTTAGCACTTTACAACACATTTAGCACTTTACAAAACATTCAATACCTTACAAAAAATTCAATACCTTACAACACATTTAGCACTTTATAACAAATTCACTACCTTACAACAAATTTAGCACTTTACAACACATTTAGCACTTTACAACACATTCAGCACTTTACAACACATTCAGCACTTTACAACACATTTAGCACTTTACAACACATTAAGCACTTTACAACACATTCAGCACTTTACAACAACACATTCAGCACTTTACAACACATTTAGCACTTTACAACAAATTCAACACCTTACAACACATTTAGCACTTTACAACAAATTCAACACCTTACAACACATTCAGCACCTTACAACAAATTCAACACCTTACAACACATTTAGCACCTTACAACACATTCAACATCTTACAACACATTTAGCACTTTACAACACATTCAACACCTTACAACACATTTAGCACTTTAACAAAAATTCAACACATTTAGCACTTTACAACAAATTCAACACCTTACTACACATTCAGCACCTTACAACAAATTCAACACCTTACAACACATTTAGCACTTTACAACACATTCAACACCTTACAACACATTTAGCACTTTACAACAAAATCAAAACCTTACAACACATTTAGCACTTTACAACAAATTCAACACCTTACAACACATTCAGCACCTTACAACAAATTCAACACCTTACAACACATTTAGCACTTTACAACACATTCAACACCTTATAAAACATTTAGCACTTTACAACAAATTCAACACCTTACAACACATTTAGCACTTTACAACACATTCAACACCTTACAACACATTTAGCACCTTACAACAAATTCAACACCTTACAACACATTCAACACCTTACAACACATTTAGCACTTTACAACAAATTCAACACCTTACAACACATTTTGCACTTTACAACACATTCAACACCTTACAACACATTTAGCACTTTACAAAACATTCAATACCTTACAACACATTTAGCACTTTACAACAAATTCAACACCTTACAACACATTTAGCACTTTACAACAAATTCAACACCTTACAACACATTTAGCACTTTACAACAAATTCAACACCTTACAACACATTTAGCACCTTACAACAAATTCAACACCTTACAACAAATTCAACACCTTACAACACATTTAGCACCTTACAACACATTCAACATCTTACAACACATTTAGCACTTTACAACACATTCAACACCTTACAACACATTTAGCACTTTAACAAAAATTCAACACATTTAGCACTTTACAACAAATTCAACACCTTACTACACATTTAGCACTTTACAACAAATTCAACACCTTACAACACATTTAGCACTTTACAACACATTCAACACCTTATAACACATTTAGCACTTTACAACAAATTCAACACCTTACAACACATTTAGCACTTTACACACATTCAACACCTTACAACACATTTAGCACTTACACAAATTCAACACTTACAACACATTCATTACAACACATTTAGCACTTTACACACAAATTCAAACCTTACAAACACATTTAGCACTTTACAACAAATTCAACACCTTACAACACATTTAGCACTTTACAACACATTCAACACCTTACAACACATTTAGCACTTTACAAAACATTCAATACCTTACAAAACATTTAGCACTTTACAACAAATTCAACACCTTACAACACATTTAGCACTTTACAACACATTTAGCACTTTACAACACATTCAGCACTTTACAACACATTTAGCACTTTACAACACCTTACCTTACAACACATTCAGCACTTTACAACACATTCAGCACCTTACAACACCTTACAACACATTCAGCACTTTACAACACTTTCAGCCCCTTACAACACATTCTTCTTACTTCATCTTCTTCACTTCTTCCTCTTCTTCCCCTTTCTTCTCCCTTCTTCCTCTTCTTCCTCTTCTTCCTCTTCTTCCTCTTCTTCCCCATCTTCCCTTCTTCCTCTTCTTCCCCTTCTTCTTCTTCTTCTCCCCTTCTTCCCTTCTTCCTTCTTCCTCCTCCTCTTCCTTCTTCTTCTTTCCTCTTCTTCCCTTTTCTTTCTTCTTCCTTCTTCTTCCCTTCCTCTTCCTTCTTCATCCCTAACCCTTCCAACATCTATGCAGCCACTCACAATGGCTTCAGCCATTGTACCATTTCTAGTTGATGCTTCTTCTTCTTCTTCTATCAGCCCTCTCTCCTACTGTTTATTCTCTTCTCCCTTCCGCCAGATTTTGGCACTTTTCAACTCTTCAACGCTTTCACCAAATTCAACAAATTATACATCGTTACGACCGGCTTCACCGTCTCATTATTGCTATTACTTTTCACACTTCCACCTTTAGCACTTTTTCAGATATTAACAAAAGTTCAAGCACTTTTTCCCATAGACTTACATTGGACCAGTACAACGATTTACTCCCCATACAACACATTACCACACTAACAATTCATTACCACAGATACAATACATTACAACATCTTACAACACTCACAGCACCTTACAACCCATTTAGCACTTTACAACAAATTCAACACCTTACAACACATTTAGCACTTTACAACAAATTCAACACCTTACAACACATTTAGCACTTTACAACACATTCAACACCTTACAACACATTTAGCACTTTACAACAAATTCAACACCTTACAACACATTCAACACCTTACAACACATTTAGCACCTTACAACAAATTCAACACCTTACAACACATTTAGCACTTTACAACAAATTCAACACCTTACAACACATTTAGCACTTTACAACAAATTCAACACATTTAGCACTTTACAACAAATTCAACACCTTACAACACATTCAGCACCTTACAACAAATTCAACACCTTACAACACATTTAGCACTTTACAACACATTCAACACCTTACAACACATTTAGCACTTTACAACAAATTCAACACCTTACAACACATTTAGCACTTTACAACAAATTCAACACCTTACAACACATTTAGCACTTTACAACACATTCAACACCTTACAAAGAATTCAACACCTTACAACACATTTAGCACTTTACAACACATTCAAGCACTTTACAACACATTCAGCACTTTACACACTTTCACACAACACTTTCAGCACAACACATTTTCTTACAATCTTCTTCACTTCTTCCTCTTCTTCCCCATTCATTCTCCTTCTTTCTATCTTCCTCATTTTTTTTTTTTTTTTTTTTCTTCCCCTTTTTCCTCTTCTTCCTCTTCTTCCTCTCGTTCCCCTTCTTCCTCTTCTTCCTCTTCCTTCCCTCTTCTTCCTGTTCTTCCTCTTCTTCCCTTCTTCCTCTTCAACACATTCTCTCTTCACTTCTTCATCCACTTCCATCTTCCTTCTTCATCCCTAACCCTTCAACATCTATGCAGCCACTACAATGGCTTCAGCCATTGTACCATTTCTAGCTTCTTCTTCTTCTTCTTCTTCCACTTCCGCCAGATTTTGGCACTTTTCAACTCTTCAACGCTTTCACCAAATTCAACAAATTATACATCGTTACGACCGGCTTCACCGTCTCATTATTGCTATTACTTTTCACACTTCCACATTTAGCACTTTTTCAGATATTAACAAAAGTTCAAGCACTTTTCCCATAGACTTACATTGGACCAGTACAACAGATTACTCCCCATACAACACATTACCACACTAACAATTCATCACCACAGATACAATACATTACAACATCTTACAACAACACTTACACGACACCTTACAACACATTTAGCACTTTA